GTACTTCAGAGTGAAATTAAAAAGATTGAAGTACTGCGCCCATTGCACTTGTTTTGAGTGCTTCTAGATTTTTGTGATCAGTCCATACCTCGAAAGGCACCTTGCTCCCCTCTAGATAGTGTCTCCAGTTTAATAGATCCCAGCGAATTGCGACCGCCTCCTTTTCCCACATAGCCCACCTCCTCTCACACTCAGTGAATTTTTTTGAGGTGTAGGTGCAAGATTGTAAGATTCCACTCTGGTTTTTTATAGTAGTACAGCTCAGACAGCAACATCGCTAGCATTGGCTTGAATTACAAAAGTCTGCCCTGCGCAGGGATGCTTTAGGACAAGTTCAACAGCAAATAGTCTTTTTAGGTTCTCAAAAGTAGTCTGACAGTTGATAGTCCATGCTAGTGGTTAGACCGGTTGCGGCTTTTCTCCCCCTTTTCCTGTTTTTAGTAGTTCCGTAAGGGGTAGGGCAATTTCAGCAAAGGAGGGTATGAATCGACTGTACAAGTTGCAAATCCTAGGAAGCTCTGGAGCTGTTTGCGAGTCTTTGGAGGCTGCCATTCAATTACAGCTTTCACTTTGGTCAGGTCCATTTCAATGCCCTCGTTGGAAATTCTGTAGCCAAGATAATCCAATTGGGTCTGGTGAAACTCACATTTTGATAGTTTGACATAAAGTTTGGCATTCAATAGTTTCCTTAGCACTTCTCTTACTAGTTTTACGTGGTCAATCATATTCGTGCTGTATACAAGGATGTCATCAAGATACACCAGAACCCCTTTGTATAAATGGTCATGTAGAATCTGATTAATCAGCTACATGAAGACAGCTGGGGCCCCCTGTAGTCCAAACAGCATGAATTTAAATTGATAGCTCCCCATTGGAAAGTTAAAAGCAGTCTTCCACTCATCTCCCTCCTTTATCCTCACCTGGTAATATGCTTCTCTCAGGTCTAGCTTAGTGAAGACACTCCCCTTTGCCAGGTGGGTTAGTAAATCCTTCAGGAGGGGGAGGGGGTCTTTATTTTCCACACTCACAGTGTTCAGACCTTTATAATCAATGCAGAGACAAAGTGACCCGTCTTTTTTTTCTTTAAACAACACCGGGGCTCCCACAGCAGACTTAGCCCATTCAATGAATACCTGCTCTAGGTTTTTGTCCACATATCGCTGCATGTCCTCCATTTCAAGGGGGGACATAGCATACATCCTCGGTCATGGTAGTTTGGCTCCTGGTAATAGTTCAATGGAGCAATCATTGCGTCAGTGGGGAGGCAGAGCATCGCATTCTTTCTCACTAAATGCCTCCTCTAGGTCCCGGTATTTTCTAGGAATGAGTGGCTCACCTGGTTGTGATAGGGCAGCCATGTGCACTAGCTCATTGGGGGGGGGGGTGGGACTAAAATTTCCTGTAATGTCTTTCAAGTTAAGGGGGGGGCTTGGGTCCTATGGGTAATCTTACAGCTCTCATCCCCTTCTCCCACCAGATAAATGGCTTCTATTTGTCCAACCAAGCTAGCCCTAGGATCACAGCCTCAGTCATTTTTGGAGCCACCAGGAAATGAATGAACTCCCAGTGCTGATCTATTTCTAAGCATAAGGGTTCAGTCAATTGCGTGACTAAAGTTCTGCCCATTAGGGAGTCATCGGCTTAGTCAAACCTCACAGGTTTGGAGAGCAGCTTTGCTCATATACCCATTTTCAGGGCAAGTGACAAGCTGATGACACACTGGGAGCATCCGGAGTCAACTAGTACTTTTAAATCTACCTGTGCCCCAGTCTTAGGGATTATGAATTTGGTAGGTAGCAAAAAAGGTGGGATGTGTCGACTCACCATCGGTTCATTCTCTCCTTCGTCATCATTGTCATAGGAGGGTAGAGCGGCGGCAGGTCCAGCTTTGGTCTCAGCACTCTCCTGCAAGGGGACGTGACATGGGTCACAGTTGGATTTCTCTTTCATTGGCTGCTGTACTGATTTCTTCCTAGCTGGTGGTCCCAGTCTATTCTGCTGCTGGGGGTAAGGGACTGGGCAATTCGCTGCTCGATGTCCCTGTTGTCCACATCTGAAACATGATCGGTGGCCCAGCAGGTGGTCTGGGATTCTCTGTAGCCACAGTGGTTGGAAGCTTTTGGGGGGTGGTGGCTGTCATTTGGGTTGATTTGGCCTTGATTTGGCTTCTTGTAGGGGTGGTTTCTGATAGTGGGCGAGCTACATCTAGTCTTACTGCTGCCTGGTACCACTCTTGCAGCTGATCAGGGACTGCTTGATAGATACAAGCCTGGGAGAGGTGGTCGTCTAGTCCCTCCTTGAAATGATGGACTAGGGATTGCTCGAGCCACGTCTCTATTCTGCCGGCTATCTTGCAAATCTCTCGTATGTATTCTAGGACAGGCCTGCCAGCTTGTTTTATTTTGTGGACCTGCTTCTCCGCTTTGAGGGTAATGGATGGGTCCTCGAACCTTGCTCTCAGTCCTAGGAGGAAGAGGTGGGGGTCCTCTAACTCGGGTGCTTGCTCGTTATACAGATTGTTCAGCCATTCAGATACTTCTCCTTCCAATCACATCGACCAGAGTGGCTGGGTTCAGATAGAAGTAGGCACAACGGTTCAAGTGAGAGCGCACCTGATTGAGGAAGGAGATCAGTTTCTCTGGATACCCATCGAAGGTGGCTCTAAGAGGTGGCACCACTAGTGGTTGCTGGCCTCCCCACTGTGGGTGTTGAATCCTAAGTTGTTGCTGCCCCCCCCATCATGGCTGCCACAACCCCAGTTGTTGCAAGCCTCCCAGCGGTTGTTGCACATCTGGGGGCTGTGGCCATCCTCACAGTTGTTGTTACATTGCCGGTGACTGCAGCATCCCCAATTGCTGTGAGACCCCCATTGGTCTCTGTGGTTGCTGTAATGGCGCTCCAGCGGTTGTGAACCTCCCAGAGGTTGTTGCATAGGAGGGGGCTTCTGCCATCCCCACTGCTGCTGGCCTGCAAGAGGGTTGTGATGCTCCCAGTTGCTGCAGGCCCTCCTGCGGCCCCAAAGGCAGTTGATGATGGACCCTATTGGTTGCAGGCCCCTCAGCAGTTGCTGCACATTCGGAGGTGGTGGCCAGTCCTACTGCTGCTGTAGTGCTCCCAGCAATTGCTGACCCCCTGGCAGCTGCATCATCCCCAGTTGTTGCAAGGCCCCATCAGCTGTTGCACCGTCAGTAACTACTGGCTTCCCACCTGGGAAGACTGTGGCATTTCCCATTGTTGTACGGGCCCCAGGCTGGGTGGCAAGTAAGCATGTCGATCCGGGGTTAGGCTGTCTCGGTGATGGCTCGGGCTCTTATCCCATTGGCAGCAATCTGGGCTTTGGGAGGGGCGGTGACTGGAGCTGTCCCTCCCTGCGGGGCTGGAGGCCATGGTCCATGGTTTCGAGGATGGGGAGGCTGCCTGATCTGCACAGGTGGGACTAGGGGTTCCCCTTGGTAGGAATTGGTGGCTGCCTCACTGATCATCATGATCACTCACGTAGGTGGAGCGGAAAGGTTGTTCTCCACTCTTCATCTCTAGCTCCTCAAATCTTTCAACCAACTTCTCCACTGACTGACTATAGGCTGCGGACAGGTATTTCCACTCACCCAAGTCCTCAGCAGCAGATGATTTCATGGTTTTCCACCGGTCTGGGGAATGCAGCATGTGAGAATCCCCTCTTGGCAGCCCAACCTCGTCCACCTTTGAAGCACTTGATGGTGACAAGGCCATCTCGAGGTGTCTGGAGTCTCTTCTGGGTTGGACCCATTCTGATGAACAGATCAGCTGTCCTCGCGGCTTGGGCTTTGCCCTCAGCTGGGAGGCCTGAAAATGTTCCTTCTCCACTGGCGCGCTGGTTGTCGCTCCCTCCTCTGGGGTAGCAGTTGCTGCCAGGGTGCTGGTTTCAGGCATTCTCTCTTTCTCCATGCTGAAATCTTCTCTGAATCTTTGTCAACTTACCCCTCCTTTCTAGGGACAGTGACGGGGGCTCGGAACCCCAAGATAGTTAGGAAAAAGTTTGAGTTTTTGGCTTAATGTCATTGTTCTGACTGATGAAACTCTTCAAAGAACTTTGAGGCATTGTTTACCTTAAGAGTCTTTATTTTGAGTAGCATAACATCGGCACTGCATAATCGAAGCCAAAAACTGAATTTCCTTCCCCTGAGCACATAGTATCAAAGCACAATTCCCTCCTCCAATTAACAGTCATAAATCACATTCCCCAATTAACTTGAAATGCAAGCTTCCTCTCCCATTCTCCAACCTGCCAATTTCTTATCAGGTCTGGTTACAATAACCTTGTTTCTCACGCTGGGTCCTGTGTTGTTATGTCTAGCTGGATTCTCATTCACATTCCCCCTCCCAGCATCCTCTAACTCTAAAAGCAAAAGGTAAAAGATGGCTGCATTTCCATCTATTGTCAATGCAAAAACATCCAATGTTAGCAGCGTTGACACTGTAACTACATATTTCGGTTATTTTTAGCTGAGCACAAGACATCAGAATTACATCTTGAGATCTCTGCTCTCAGTGCCTTTTTGAATTCTGTTTAACTGTTATAAATCCACCATTTAGTAATTCTGTTTTCTATTGATTGTAGTGAACTGCTCACTTTGTTATCTATTTAACTGCTTGATCTCTCTTTTCTTTTAAAATTCTCAATTAATTGTTTCCATTACATCAATTAACTAAAATTGCAATATTCCTATTGGCCAGCCAACTTTAGTTTATCAACTAATTTTCATTTCAGCATTAATTTTACTTCTACTACTTTTAAATATATATAAATTCTCTCTGTGTGCTCAGTAAACTTGTATTTCTATGGAAGGAATGATTTTCAGTGGCTCCATTTCCATCACTGTACTGCATTCATCATATGCAAAGTGCTTCATGCATTCCAGTGTTGTTTGATAGGGTCAGCTGCAATAAATATGGAATCTCTTGAATACTCCTCTACAACCTGCTGCCTTCCAAACATGTTAGACTACAACTTTCTGAAGTCTTTAGAATTGCAGTGCAGTTTGAGGCATTGCAATTCTGAAGAAGGCTACTATTGAAATATTCTGGAACTGTGGTCGAAATAAAGTGTAAAAATATAAAAAACAGATTGTTATGAACTGCAGAGAATATGAATTCTTTTCTGACTAAATTAGATTTTTAATTTTAACTTTGTTGAAGACTGAGTGAATCATTAAAAAATGAACCCATTTAAAAACACGCAGCCTTAGAATTTGAAATAGAATTCAGGCTCAATCCATCATTCGTGATATTTGTTTTCATTTTTTCCTTTGATCACTTTACAACAATTTTAAAATATCGTAAAATGAGGAATGCACTAAAGTAGCCTTCCCCAATTTGCACTCTCCAGGGTGGTAGACTACCAATTCTGCCATCACCAGTGAGACTAAGAAAATTTACAAGTAGCATTCAAGGTAGTGTACAAATAAAACTTCCATAACAATTTCATTTTTTTTCTTTTTCACTAGTTACCTCAGAAATCTACATCAAACCCAATTATTCTATTTCAACTCTAGATATAGTTATTGTACCATTGACTGATAGAACAATTAATGCTTAATTCTAAGTAAACATATGCAGAATTATACTGAACTGACCTGAAATCCATCATAGGGATTGTTCCCACTTACAACTTTTAGGTAGAGTATTAGCATCATTATTAGCAATGTTTTTCTTTTCTTTTCTTTTTCTTTTTACTAGAGAAAGGGAGAATAATTTTCATGGTCATTGTACAATTCCAGTGAAGCTTTTTTCTCATCATTGACATTAGTTTATAAGCACTAAAGATATTTTTTTCCGGCAAAGACTAATAATGGCATGCACGTTGTGTGTCAGAACTGTAATTGTGAAGGCTTAACACCTCCGTTCCCCCCCCCCACTACCCATCCTGTGCAGAAATTTCTGTAAAGTTTCCTGTGTCATTTCCTCAAAATCCAAATAATATACAAATCACTTTCTGGTAATACATTTATTTTGAGTCAAAGCTGTACTTGGGAATCAAAGCTGCATCTCTTGGCTGTTTTATTGTTTGGATTCATGCAACATAAATAAGAAGCCGAATTGGTATTTTTTTTATTACAGAATATGTTAAGAAGTATCTAAAAGTTTCCATCTAAAATGGTTGCTTGCATAGCTAAAAATAGTTCATTGCCTTTAATTACACCTGCATTTATTTTGGTTATTCTTTCACTCAAGTCGAAAGAATTGCTTTCAATGTTTTTTAAGAAAATGGAAAACAGAAAATTTCAGTGAAATTCTCATGAGGCTTGGCAGTCTTTGCACGGATGACAGGTGTCCATGCAGCTTCTCCCTTTTATCACAGAATGCAATTTCCAGGTTCTGCAGCCCTTTTGCTTCCCATGCTTCAATTAAACTCCAAGAAAAAACAGAGAAAGGAATTCTCTTATGAGGCATTTTTTAATAATAAAGCATGGGCACCCAGCATATTTATGTAAAGATTTGTAACAGAAAATAAATTACTGCACTCTCTTCCTTTAATAATATAAAAAAAAGTTAGAACAACTTGCAAAACCAGAAGAAAACATGAAAATATTCAGAAGCCCCCTGCTAATAATATAAAGAAATAAAGAAAACTTTCTAGAAATTGGGAAACATATCTTGACAGTCTATTAATTTAGCACAAACTGTATATCTATTTTTGGACTGTGGTTCTTGAATGTCAGCTATAAAAAAGCTGGCAGGCCTAAGAAAGAAATAGATCTGGACAAAAGCTAAATTTAACTTAATAACATTCAATTAACATTTAAGTAAACTAATATAGGTAGTCTTTGACATGATCCTAACTGAAACTGGCATTTCCATCACTAAGCAAAACATCATGGTACTGTGCTGCTTTACAATGGCAGTCCTAGTTATGGTTGTTAAGCAAGGACTGCACAGTTATTAGACAAGGACTTCATGCTATTCTTCTCTGCACTACCTCCATTCCAATTCCTCCCACCAGCCTATTTCCATCCATTTCTGTCCTTTTGGCCACACAGCACAACATGGCCAAGACACAGAGACTGCTGCATTCTGCTGCCATCCTCCCCCCCCCCCAGCAGCCTAGAAATCCTTTTAGCAGAAGGAAGAGAAAGTGTCCAGTGTCCAGTTCACAGGGCTGTCCTTGGAATAACCAACAGGCACAGGCTGGGAAAAGAGCTATTTCTTGGCTTCTCCCTCCCTCCCCAGCCAGTCATGGTGGGACGGGCCCAATGTTGGACTGGATGCAGAAATGGTACCAGCTTTTAGACCCAACAACCTTCCCTCCCCTGGCCTTTATCCTCTTCATGGCTCTGCAGGCAAGGAACCTGGAGGATGGTGTGGTCAAGAGAGCTCACTGTCCAGGGACAAGCTACCCTTGTAGATCTAGCCCTTGTGAAAATGACCCAATTTCTCCCACTTCTCTTGTTACTTAGCTGACTTACCTGAGAATTAACAAGACGTATTGTAGTTTTCTCACCAACATCTACCTGAAACCCTTTGATAGGGGCCTCATTAAACCGCAGGACTGCATCATAGCTGTCTGAAAGAAACAGAAAATATGAACTGAGTGCATCTCAGATCAAAGTCTTCAACATTTCAATAGTTCAGCTATGAAATTCTCCTGTGTGGTACAGAAAGAAAAAAAAAACTAGGAACAATTTTCAATGTCATCTCAATGTTCTTGTCATGTATTTGAAAAAAAGTCTTATACTAAGCTGTGGAGTTGGGCACGTATAGCTTTGTCCAATGCCTGCAGCTGCCTCTCTTACAATAAAGGAATACATAACATGATTCTGATTGATTGCTATTAACTGGAGTGTATGAGGAACAATCATGTGAACTTAATCTGGACAAGTTGATAGCAAAGGAAATTGGCTGGGGCTTCCAGCAGGGATTTTCAGCCTTGTCCAAGTTCATGCCCTCCAGATATTTGTATTCAGAACAACAGAATAACAGAGTTGGAAGGGACCTTGAAGGTCTTCTAATCCAACCCTCTGCTCAGGGAGGAAACCCTATACCATTTCAAACAAATGGCTGCCCAATCGCTTATTAAAAACCTTCAGCGTTGGGGCACCCACAATTTCTGGAGGCAAGTTGTTCCATTGATTCTACCAGTTAGTTCAGGATAAACTAGCTTTTCCTGCCCCATTACATGGAAAACTCAACAATAAAACATTTTAATCATATTTAGTAGCATTTATTGTAACATAAAAATATACAAATACAAACCTATTTCTGCTCCCAAATGTGACTGCTTAATAGATCCTGCAGAGGATACAACTGCACATTGGCCTAGCTTGCCCAGTTCCGTGCTGATATTTTTCTTAGGCAGGTATGTCTCCCATTCAGGTGTATTAAAAGGGGCATCAGATGCAATTATCATCCTAAAGTCTATTTTTTGCTGAAGCTGGCACAACACTTGCTCTGGGCTGAGTTTAGCAACATTCTTTGGTCCAGTGTATTTCACATGAAATCTGTTCATTTTTAAGTAATACTTTCTTGCCATTTGGAGTCTAGGGTGAAGAAATTGGGAAGAACTATACTTGTTCCAGACTGTGATTTTCTTCGGCTTATAGATATGATTAAATTTAACCTGGGATACTTTGTTAGACAAAGTGACTTTGCCTGTGCTATTGACAGTTTTATTCTGGCCCATTCCTGATTTCATTGTAATCCATTTCCACTGCTGCAGATGATCAGTTTGGCTTTCTGTTTTTATGGAGATGTAAATTCCTTTCCATGTTTCCTTCCACAGATAAGCAATCAGGACCAAAATGAAAATAAGAATTCCGAACACCCATTTTCTAAACAAGTTGACATGAACCATAATGTACAATAATTAGGTTGGAAAGTTCAGTTTCGGATGTATGGATCTGAAAAATGAAACAATGTAAAAATATTAATAGGGAGGGACAGAAAGATAACATCTATAGATAGATTAGTGCTTTTTAGAATGTTGCTCTCCAAAAACTGATTGCATAAGATTGCCACAGTCTTTAAATAGTTCCTATAACTCAGATCTTGAGAGACTGGACTAGATCAATTTTCTATTAATATAAGTTTTTTTAATGTCCTGTGTTATATTTAATAAAGTAAACAGACATCTCTCTCTTTTCTTTTCCTGAGAGATAAATGAGATAAAAATACAGCCAATACATTTAAGAAGAGATAATTGTTTTAGAGAAATGCCTATACTGGATGCATTTATCTGATGCAAGATCACTGAACTGGGTAGAGATGTGGGTATAAAATCAGGGGATTCCTTTTTATTAACTATTTCATTTCTACTAATGACACATGCTCACAAACATACAGACTCACAAATATAGAAAGGAAATGATATCTATGTGGTTCCTTTCTGGTGCCTGCAAAAAGCCCATGTTTCAATTGTTAATGAGCTATCCTTTTTTAAGCATAGAATCATAGCACGTACAGGTTATATGGGACCTTAGATATCATCTAATGTAACTGCTAACCAGTGCAGAAACCAACTACCACAGGATCCATATCAGATGTATCCTTAATGGTCCCATAAGTAGAGATCACCCAGCAGAATATACCTATTGGGGTGCAGGAAGAAAATCTACAGTTGATTGCTGAATTGTATCATGTGACCTTCTGAATTTTGTACAAAAGTCGGAGGCAGATTCATGACTGGAAAGTGACCACAATCCAGTAATTCTAACTCTGACATCCCATTGGAAATTTCTAAGAGTTAGCTTAATCTATCCACCAAGGCTTGATAACTAAAATACCCAGGTGAGAATTAAATGGACTGAGAAATGCGATCGAAATCACCAAATGGATGCAGGCCTTAGAAACTCTAGAATTGTATGCATATCTCCTAGAAAGTAAATTTCAAAGATCAGATCTAAATGGGTTTGAAACCTTAATTGCTAATCTAAAATCAATTCTCACCAATGGAATACTGCCTCATTCCAGAAACAGGTTATAAAGAATAGAAAATGGTTTGATTGGGATTGTGTACAATTAAAGAGGGCATACAATAAAGAGTACAGAAAAAGTAAAAAACTCTCCTTCTGAGGATCAAACTCACTACCTAAGATGTTTGAAGGCTCAATATAAGACCCTTTTAAAAGAAAAGAAAAGTGCAGCGTTGAAGGAGCCTGGTGCTAATTAATTCAATCAGGATGAAAGATACAACCCTTTTTTGGCATATCACTAGAGGACTGGGAAAATCACTCCCTGCCCCAACTAACCAAGTACCAATTCACACCTGGAAGAAATACTTTAGAGCATGAGTGTCAAACTCGCTGTGTCACGTGATGTGTTGCGACGTATTGCAACTTTTTTTGCATTGCCGGAGCTGGGGTGGATGCGGCCTCTGGATGATGCAACCAGCCTGTGGGCCGGCAATGTGACACCCCTGCTTTAGAGAGTTGTATATGGACCCTGCCCATGAAATGAATGAGAGCCAGATTAATTTGTACTCAGCCCCTTACACACAAGAGGTATCCCAGTTGATCAAATTCCTTAAGGTTAATAAGGTTCCCAGTGCTGATTGTGTTCTCCCAGAAATAATTAAAAAGAACCTTAGTTTGTGGACACAACTTTTAGCATCTCTTTTTTACATTTATAGATCAGACTACATGTATGCTAAGAGATTGGGGGATGACAATTATTGTACCAATCTATAAAAAGGGCAATAAAAATGTTCCCTGTAACTACAGGCCTATTAGTCCAGTGAGTGTTGCTTAGCAAGTTTTATGCTAAGCACCTAAACCATAAACTTCAAGATTGGATAATCTCAGAGGGCATAATTAAAGATGAACAAGCTGGATTCAGGAAAGGAAGATCAAGTTGACCATATTTTGGTACTTTACCTCTTTATACAAAAGTATACATATAAAAAGAAATCTCTTTTTGTGGCCTTCCTTGACTTTAAACAAGCCTTTGATTTGATATCCAGAAGTACCCTCTGGATAAACTAAAAAGTACTACTATTGATAAATGCCTCTTTTATCCCATACAAAAACTATATTCTAACTCCACCTTAAAAGAGATTTTATCTGGCTCAATAAAGTGTACAGAGGAGTATGCCAGGAATATATCTTGACTCCTTCCCTTTTAAAACTTTATATTAATTTCCTGATTGATCTTCTGCATAACCCAGACTTCCAGTCTCCTAACCTCGCTGATAATACTGATAATTTTTTATGCTGCTGCTGCTATTATTTCACAACCCCCTATTGGACTCAAGAGAGCTATTTCAATACTGAAAACAAAATAATCTGATCCTCAATTTTGATAAATCGAAAATCCTAGTTTTTGCTAAAAGAGTTATTCAATACTTTTGGAGAATAGAAGGGCACAATCTAGAACAGGTCAATATATTCAAATACCTTGGGTGTGATTTTCCATATGAAAGTTATTTGGAAGGTACATCTGGACCACACGATGCAATCAGGCCTTAGATCCTCAAATGCTATCAAATGCTTTTTCTTACACAGGAATAGAACAATTAGTCCGCCCAGCCTTAAAACACTGATGCAAATTTTCTATGGGGCACAAAAAAGTTTTTTTTTTTAAGAAAAAACAAAATTTCTGCAATCCATTTTAGCTGCAACTAGCGGGACATCAAACACCCAGCTGAGAATTGAGATAGGAATGCCTCAAACAGAATTTGAGGTAAGGGCCTGGAAAGTGATGATAATTTACTGGTTGAAAATTCAATTCTTCTTGGAGGGCTTGACCCTTTAGTCCTGACAGACAACTTCCCCTTTCTCTGGAAACAGGCAATAGAGCATAAGCTGGCCTTCTATAGACTAGGCTACGATCAAGCAAAGCAAGTGGTTACTAATAAAATAAGAGATATGGAGTTCCAGCTAGAACTTTACAGGATATCTCTCCACAGCAGCAGAAATCAGATTAAATGGGATGTGTATCTGAAAGATCTGATTTTTCCAAGAATAGAATAGCACTTTTTAGAGCCAGACTTTATATCTTCACCTCAGCCTATCTGCAAGGCAGGTATGATAAAACCCCAATGGCTGAGTGAATGAGTACATGTGGCAATGGGGAAGTTGAAGATATCTCACATATCCTATTGTGCTGCAAGCTCTACAGGGACATCTGATCAATGTACATTCTCCCTCTATTAGAGAAATTTCCAGGGAGATCAGATAATTTCTATGTGAACCATGTCCTTCAGGATTCAAATCCAGCCACTACTCAGTAGCAAAATTTTGTGCTGCTGCAATGACAATAAGAAAAAAAACACCTAAAGAACTAAAGATTCATATTCATATTAATATTTTGCTTAGTTATTTTCCAATAATTTTTACAGAATGTATTTATTTTAACATTTACCTTCTATGCTGATCTGTGACAGTAATAAAGACTGACTTGATTTTTTTAGGCATTTTTGACTATTTTATCTTTGGGCAGTATCTTGAAGTCCCCACTGCTTTACCTCTTCAGCAAGCTCTTCCCTACTGATTAGGATCAGCTAACGCAGCTTTTTCACCAATCTTCTAGAAAATGAAACCTCTTATTGTCCTGCCCACTACTTCATAGTACCTTGTAGTTTCTTCAAGGCTATGTTTGTGTTATTTGTTGCCACAACCAAAATGGATATTTATCAGAGAGCTTAAAGAATCTTGATATTTTTTTCATCATATTCTGAATATGTACCCTGGGAAGGCAAAAGACTCTTGAGAAACTGCCAAGCCCTTTGAATAGTGCATCTTCAAGTCACCACCATCATTTGGTTCTTCCTTTTCAGGATACAGATAGGAATCCTCTGCTTTGCTTTTCTTCATTTCCTGAAGTTTAGAGCAGCTGTTCTTCATCCAGGAGTCAGAATCAGTGGGTTTCGGAGACTCTCCAGTTTCAGAGGCTCTAGCACCTAAGAACTCTTTGGGCAAAACTTCATGTTTTGTCTCATGCTCCTTCTTTTCTGTTCCCTCTGCTTGGCTTTTCTCAGTCTTCATCTAAAAGCAGAACTGGAACCAAGTAGGCAAACTGCTAAATATCTGAGAACTACTGATAAAATAATTCTAGTGATCTGTCTTAAAAGCAAGCTATCTGTCTGTTTGTCTATCTATCCACGCATGCTCAAAACTTTCCCTGGTCCCCAGTGTTGTGCAGGAAGACTGGTTTCCATTTGTCCCTTGTTTCTGCAATAATCAGATTTGCTATCATGTTGTGCACTGTGAGAACTAAACTCCGTATCTTTTATCTTCTTGGAAGCTTCTTATTGCTATTGTCTGCAAGTTTCTTCAGTGTCAAGAATTCCCTATATTTCCTGATAATCTAAAGAGTAGATAGGTTTGCCTCTAACTCTCTCATCTTCACTTCCAAAGGGCAATCAGCTTGCATTTCCTGAATCTTGTCATTTGGAGGAAGGAAAATATACATGGCGCATCCCCTGTGAGTAATGGCAGTAATTTCCTCCATCTTCATATTGTTCTGATGAACAATCAATAAAAATAGAAGTGCTTTCCTCAGTTTCCTTTGCTCTCTCTGTAAGCTCTCACATCCAAAAAGAAATTTGGATTTGTAAATTTTCGCAGTTGCGACTTGAGCCTGCTTAACGCCCCTATTGGGGGGGCTGCAAGGCAAAAGAGATTGTAAAAAGTATAACTGCAGTATAGCAGTTAAAAAATGTCAAGGTGTAATCAATCAGACCAGTCTGTCTGAAAAACTTCCTGTATATACTCCCTTGACTCGGCTGGCAAAGAGGGGAGGAAAGCCTGTGGCTTGGTGGTTAAATCACTGCGTAATATGTAAGCTGCCCAGGTTTGAATCCCATAAAGGGTGTGGCTAACTGAAGAGAGCAGAATGAGCTCAAAATGGCCATATTAG